GCTCGGGCAAAAATTCCCCGTAAACACCGTACACACGGGGCCGGGCAGCCGTCTACCACCCCAAACGAGATTCTGCCCTTCGGCGTAGCCTCGTCCGGGTTCCTCTCTACCCGAAGGCAGAGAGTTCGACCAGCTCAGCTGGAGACGAATCTCCAACTAATTCTTGAGGCAAGTCCGCCAGGTATATCCTGTGTTTACTATATAAATCTACTAATATAGTTAGTCCACATAGATGATAGGGAGTGTGGGACATTACATTACAACAAAATGTCTCCCGGTTACTTGCTGCGATGTCACCTACAATCTTCCGAAGTTTAAATGAAACAATAAACGCCATGTCCCGTCTTCCTGGATACTGTTCTTTTATTGTCTTTTCTCATCTTAGCTCACTCTCAGTAACCCCTAGCGTCTCGGTGGCATTACCTATTGACTTGAGCAGAGGCTACATTCATTTTTTTAACAGTATTTTTTATTTTGTCTACCGGTATATAGACGAAATGAAATAAAAATTACTATATATATATATATATATATATATATATATATATGTGTGTGTGTGTGTGTGTGTGTGTGTGCGCCGTCAGTTCTATTCAAATAGTTTCTTCTCTCGCACTTCTCGCTTGTGTAACTCCCCACTGTTTTTTTTTTTTTTTTGCTCTGTTACTTTACATCAAGCAGTGTTTCATTACTACCAGCACTCAATATACACTATATATATATATATATCGAAAGACAGAGAGAGGGGGTGAAGAGAAAGAGAAAGATGGAGGAGAGAGAAAGGGACATATAGTTAGAGTATATATAGAGAGAGAATTAATTTGGAAAAGTTTATCACTTATTTGAGTGGTGTTGGTTCAGTCATGCCTACTACGTAGTTTCGTGAGTACATCAAAATAACATGTTCACTCTTCAGGGATTGTTGTCTTGCTATTTCTCAAATTTGCCGTATTTATGCGCGGTTGGGTGTAATTTGATATCTTTGTGTGATTTTTCACTTAATGGGTGTTGTTATTACTTAAGTGGTATGGGGTTTCTTGGTGTTTGCTTTGTGTTGTGGTGATCGCTTTTTGACTGCATTTTACTTAATTAATTTATGATATATATATAGTATTAAATTGTAAGAGAGTTAGGTGCTAAATGTTGGTACTTTTCCGTAGTTTACTGGTGGGAAGTCATTTTAGGCAAACAGGTTTTTGTCTTAACGTGCTCGATGTCAAAAGGTAAGGATAAAGCATTAATAGAATTAATGTGGAGAAACTTGTCACTTAACTGAGTGGTGTTATTTCAGTCATGCCGACTTCGAATTTTTGTGAGCGCATTGTTGTAATGCCTTCACTCTTCAAGGCTATTGACATCTCGGTATTTAACCAAGCTCCCAATAAGGCGGAATGTGGCACAACGCCGATTTTTAACGTAGGTCTTTCCGAACCGATACCGTGTTGAGCTGACCTTTTTTACAGTGTTGGTGTATATGGCTGCTTGTTTTGTTTTTTTTAGGTCATGGTTAGGTGCCTGTGCTTGTATGTGTATGTATGCTGTTTTTTTTTTTGTTTGTTTTTTTGTTAATATTTTCTGATATTTGTGTGTCTGCATACTCCTTTATCAGCTTGGTGTGTGTTTTAATGGGTGATTGGTGTGTTATCTAGTTGCTCCTTTCTTTTTTCTTTTGCCATTTGTTTTTTTGTTTGATCGCGATTAAATACTTATACATGTCTGATTGTGTCTATATGTAGTAAGTTTGTGTTTCTAGTAGGGTTGTGTTTGTAGTGTCTTGTTTTGTTTCAGACTCAACATATACTATAAATAATAGTATATGTGGGGTCCGAATGAGAAAAAAACTATATTAACTTGGGTCAACGTGCTTGAGTAGGTATTTATTTCTATGTATGTATGTGATCATGAACTCACTCCTTTTGTTTAGCAAATTAGGGTTATCTATATAATTTAGAATGATAATTTTTCTAAAAGACATAAATTACATTTATTACCTTTTCCGCTGAAGGTTTGGCTTTTGCTACATAATCCCATGTAATCGTTGGGTTTCTACTGCCGCTTTTTATTTTACAGAAAACATTATAGAGGTCAGTGCCGTTACTATATTTAATATTTCCTGATATTTTTCAACTGAACCAAAATAGGATTTGACCTCGCTATCATGTTTAATGTTAGCTCTATATATTAAGCCTTTGGTCGTGCACTTGCCGTTCAGCGGGCAGGTCGTCTTTTTCAGCAGTTGCATTCTATTGTTGTTTTTATTATCGATATCACTTTTTAAGTGGTTTACCCCCAGGCAAAAAAGAGTTACCCCCCCTTGAGACATTGTATGTACACCTTTTAACGCATACTGATACCAGTGTTCCCCACTGTTTAAATTTTAAATTGAAATTGGAATTTAAAATTTTTAATTATAAGTGTAAGTTTGAATCTAAATTTAAATTATAGTACAATTAAATAGTTACTAATAATTATAATTTGCCCAGCTAACACCGTAAGACCCAGAAATTTTAACCATATAACAACCAGTTCATTTATACCTGATGATTGCATAGTGTATGGAACTCCTAGTCGTACTGTCGACGTGGGGTATATATATATATATATATATATATATATATATATATATATAGAGAGAGAGAGAGAGATAGAGAGAGGGGGAGGGAGAGGGAGAGGGAGGAAGGGCGAGAGAGAGGCACAGTAGAAAAATGTATTGCGGCTCGGATTGAGGAATCGGAGAGCCGAGTTCGAATTTCAGTCGGATTCATTACATTCAGTTATATGGGAAAGGTATGAATACATCTCTTCTCCCCACACCCCACAGCTATGGGTAAATAGCAGATAGACTGGGTTCTATAGCCTTGGGTGGCGAACGGTCTAGGAAAAGGACAGCTCAGAATTCAAAATCTGCGGAGTGTCGTCTGGGTACATATTAGCTTACTGTGCACCAGTTCTCTGTATTCGGCTTTTCCAAAAAGTGTGGTTGGTTCTGTACAATGCTTCACCACTCTAATCAAATGATATGCGTGGGTTGTCTGACTGTTGGTTTCTAGGAACTGAGCTGCTTCATCCTTATATATCGAAAAGGATGAGAGAATCCAATATATATATATATATATATATAGATAGATAGATAGATAGATAGATAGATAGATAGATAGATATGTAACTTAAGGAAGGATACTGAATAGAATAATCAAACGGAAGTTGGTAATGAATTATAATACTTAGGACAAGAACAACACATATAAGTTTTGCCAGCGGCGCGTAGAAGTAGTCAAGTGAATTCTACAATGAATCTCCAACTGCAGGATATCTACTAAACGTCCCAGGCAGTCAGATGTGTCACAAAGCCGAATTTAATGTGGGGTATCCGAGCCCGTAGGCTCGGCCAAAAATACTCCGTAGACCCCGTATAAAACGGGGTCGGATAGTTGTTTCCCGAGACGTGACTCTGCCCTTCGACATAGCTTCGTCTGGGGATCCTCTCTGTCCGGAGGAAAAGAGTTTGACCAGCACAGCTGGAGACGAATCTCCAACTGCAGACCAACATACAGTATCTACTACCGTATTCATGTGAATTATTGTCCGTAAGTATGCTACATGTTATATATATATATATATATATATATATATATATATATATATATATAGAGAGAGAGAGAGAGAGAAGAGAGAGAGACAGACAGACAGAGAGCGAGAGTTCATATATATAGATATGGGTATATCAGTAACTCAGTGACCTTAAAATAAAAAATGGAGCGAATTTACACAATGATTACTTATTTTTCAACATAACCTCATTCCTTGCCATTGAACTTACATTTAACCCAATCACATAGAGCAATCATTACACAATGGAGATTTTAGAACAAAAAGTCACCTTATCTTACATATCTGGCTACGGAAATGTTGATTCTCTTTTCGACAGCGTTGAATGAAGATGTCTGCAATTCATTAATAATTACTTTTGGTCTTTGGAGAATGGTGATGACTGAAGAACAACTTTATCTTAAATTATTGTGTGAAGACTGCAGCTGTATCATAAAAAAATCAGTTTATATAAAAAAAATTTTTAAAATAATTGAAAAATAAATAAAACTGATAAACAAGAAAAACTCAAAAACAGTTTTAAAAAAATTACCTTAAATAATGAAAAACATGAAGTGAAAACAGCAAATTAATCTGAAAAAAAAATACTGGAAAAGCGTCAACTAGTAATGGTCAGAAACGAAATGAAATAAAATTGTAATATTGCCAAAAAAATGTACAATAAAATCAAAAAAAAAAAGAAAGAAACTGCAAAAAAAAATAACAAACAAAAAGACAGAAAAAATAGCAACTAAATAAAAAAAATACCTTTGGAGAAAAACAAAAATTAAAGAGCAGATAGAATTAACTAACAGATTAAACTTTCGATCTTAATTTAATCACGCTAAAGACTAAACCCACCCAAGTATGGCACTTCCCCAGGACTTCGTCCTCAGAAAATAAATAAATATGTAACATCAAAGAATTGCCACAATTTTCAATCATTAAAAAGAAAAATACATCTTAAGAAATTTTTTAAAAATTGAAAGTAAGTCGTGGCGGGAGAAGAACGTGAATTTCTTGATCATGTTTTTAAAAGATCGTCTGGATTAAAATGTCCAACGTTGGAGACTTTTATTTATTGATATGATGCTATCCAATCTTTATATATATATATATATATATATATATATATATATATATATATATATAAAAAAACAGTTTTCAGTATCGTCATTCGAGCTTTATTGTATTTATGTTTTCTGTTTTTAATTCATTCTTCATTTTATTTTTTCGGTTTTTTTCTTTATTTATTCTTTTCTCTTATTTATTCTTTTTTATTCTTTCATTCAATCTTTCCCTTCATCATTCTTTCTTTCTTTCGTCATTTCTTTCTCTTGTCCTTTTCCCCCTTTTTCCTTACTTTCTTTCTTTGTTTCTTATATAATTTCATTCGTTGATTTATATTTTATTTTATGCTTTCTTTCTCTTATTCCTTTTTTAAATTCTTTTATTGGATCTTTATCTTACTCGTTTCTTTCTTTTATACGTCCTTTCTTTCTTATATAATTTCATTGATTTATATATTCTTTTATTCTTTCTTTTATTCTTTTATTCTTTTATTTTATTCATTCATTTTTATTCTTTTATTCAATCTTTTACTTGTTCTACTTTTATTATTTCTTTCTCTTATTCCGTCTTTCATTCTTTCTTTTATAATTTCATTCTTTGATTTACGTTTTCTTTCTTTTATTGTTTCGTTCTTTTCTTTCTTTTTTTTATTCGTGATGTTTATTTATTCTTTCATTCATTTATTTGTACATTCTTTTATTCTTTCATTCGTTCCTTCTCTAATTCATTGTCGCTTTCTTTTATTCTTTCATTTTTTTTTATACTTCCATTTATTCATTCTTTCTTTTATTTGCACTTCCGTTCTTTCTCTTATTCGTTCTTTCTTTATTCTTTCATTCAGTTATTCATTTATTCGTTTCTTCTCTAATTTGTTATTTTTCATTCTTTCATTTATACGTTCGTTCATTTTTTACTCTTTTATTCTTTTATTCTTTCATTCTGTCATTCTTTTTTTTTTTTTTGTACTTTATCTTCTTCTTTCATTCTTTTATTCATTCATTCCTTTATTCCCAAAATAACCAAATAGGAAACAAAGAATTGGTTTTCTATTTGGTTATTTTAATTCATTTTTAATTCATTTTTTGTTTCTTTCTTCTTCCTTTTCTCTCATTTCTTTTTCCCTCGTTTCATTGGTTTTTATCCTCGCAGTCACCCCCCCCCCATTTTTTAAAAATGTTTCTTTTAATTTTTTTCATCATTTTTTTTTTTTCATTTAATAATCTCTTTCATCTTCTTCAGAACTACAACACATCAAAGGTTACAATTCTTAGCAGTTCTGGCCAATGATGCTAATGAGTTGATGCTAGGGTGGGTGGAGGTTGTTGGCGAGAGTGTGTGTGGGGGGGGAATCAGATTAGAGCCAGACACTTTTATACATTAATGCCAATGTTAAGAATGAATGTTTTTAGCAACTATCAGGGCATTTAAAAACACCACACTCCAGTTTGCTTTGGGCTGATAATCCCACCCTTAAGAAAGATAATGAGGCGGGGGGGCAGGTCTACATGCACACCCCCCCCAACCACCACCTGTCCCAAATTGACAATGGCCAAATCATAGATTTTTATTGAGCTTAAACTAGTCTGGTAAAAGGAGAAAAAAAAAAAAAGATGAGAAGATTGTGTTTCGCCAGTCGTTCATATGTGATGTATATTTTAGCATTGAAAATCAGCTTTTTTTTAAATCTTGGCGTTTTATTTGAACTCAAAAACAAACCATTGGTACACATTGGAAATAAAAAACTATAACTATCTCAGACACATAGCAAAACATCGTTTTACCTTATAACCCCATAATGTGTTACTTTAGAGAGAGAGAGAGAGAGAGAGAGAGAGAGAGAGAGAGAGAGAGACAGACAGACAGACAGACAGACAAACAGACAGACGGGGGGAGAGATACAGACAGAAAGAGAAAGAGAGATAAACAGATTTTGTTAGATAGATAGATAGATAGATAGATAGATAGATAGCATACCATCATTATCACAATCACTAAAATACCACAATTTCTCTATGAACTCCTAACTAGTTCCCATATGTAAAATTGCATGTCGGGGGTGGAAAGAGAGAGAGAGAGAGAGAGAGAGAGAGAGAGAGATACAGACAGACAGACAGACAGACAGGGGGAGAGATACAGACAGAAAGAGAAAGAGAGATAAACAGATTTTGATAGATAGATAGATAGATAGATAGATAGATAGATAGATAGCATACCATCATTATCACAATCACTAAAATACCACAATTTCTCTATGAACTTCTAACTAGTTCCCATATGTAAAATTGCATGTCGGGGGTGGAGAGAGAGAGAGAGATACAGGCAGACAGACAGGGGGAGAGATACAGACAGAAAGAGAAAGAGAGATAAACAGATTTTGATAGATAGATAGATAGATAGATAGATAGATAGATAGATAGATAGATAGATAGATAGATAGAATCATTATCACAATCACTAAAATACCACAATTTCTCTATGAACTCCTAACTGGTTCCCATATGTACAATTGCATGTCGGGGGTGGAGAATAAAAATAACAAATTTTAAAATCTAACCTCGACGTGTAATTACGATGCTATAATTATTTATAAAAACTAAACAAAACAGTATCAGTAATAGAAGCACCCCCCCAAAAAAAATCTGAGGGTTATCCTACTTGACTTTATTTAAAAAAAAAAAGTCTCTAGAGGGAAGGCGGTCCTTAAGTCTATTTAAAGGCGCGCATTTATCTCCCTATTTTCTTTTACAGCTTTTTAAGTCCGGTTTTTAGATGTAGTCGCACGTGGGTAAAGTGTCTCTCACTGGGACACGTTCATTTTCATGGTTTTCTCTCTTGTACTCTCACACACTTGTTACGCATGCGCGCACACACACATACTTAGCACATTATTATTATTATTATTATCATTATTATTATCATCATAGCTTTTTTTCATGTTTTTTTTTTTTTTTCTTTTGTCAAATGCCTTATTCCTTGTTTAAATACATACATTGTTTGTTTTATTTTACTATGTTTTTTTTTTACTTGGACTAACACTGAGTCCGCATATATTGTTTACGGAATAAATTTTCCAGGAACCCGTAAATATTTACGATCCAAGGCGTTGAATACCGCAACACAATTGTGACTAAAAATATTTACTGAAACAGAGAAGCATCCTGCAACAAATCCTGTAGTAGAAATATCAATTAACTAGACGAAAATAATGCGAGTCTTGATAATAAGTGACACACTCACTCCAATAAACACTCAGATGATCACGTACACTGTGTACGGTACACATCTCGATGTAATAGCAAATACGAAAAACCGCATCCAAAACAACAAAAGGCATCCCGCGCCCACTTTGTGGGGTGCTTGTTATTTTGTTGTTGTTTTTGTGTGTGTTTTGTTGTTGTTGTTTGGGGGAGAGGGCTACAGGGGGAGAAAATCCTCTCTACACGATATTTATTTCTGTGAAAAATACAGAAATCCTCTCTACACTGAATCCGCGAAATTTGGTCTAAGCTTATAATATTGATTTTAGGGAATTCAGCCAATCAAAATTGGTTTTACATTTAGTGCGATCTTCGTCTTCCTATTTAATAGCGTCGCATTTTTCCCGCCAGTTTTTAAACTTTTCCTGCTTGGCGGGTAAGTCGCTTGGTCTTGCTCTTTTCATCGTATTTTCCTTAGGTCTTTGTTAAATTTTGCGTTATACATTAAAAAAAAAGAAAAGAAAATGAACAAGCCATGTAAAAATAATAACCTTTCGGGTGATTTGCGTCTAATGTTCAGGTGGGAAAAATAAATTGTAGTAACTAAATTTATGCTTTAGCTGGGCAATTGATTGATTTTAATGATTAGTAGATGGTTGATTTGAAAAGTCCTGGATCTTCGAATTCTGTAGACACTACTTAGAGTAACAGGCCCGCCCGCAAATAACAGGGACGATTTTGGGAGGGGAGTAATTTTTCTAGACTGCCATTAATTTTGTGTGCCCCCCCCCCAGCAAATTCGTAATAGTAACAGTTTGAAATTTGTGATATATATGTAACTTTATGAATTCAGCGATCGATTTGTTACTGGTTTTAAATTATATTCCGAACAGGATCAACACTTATAAAATGATTTAAAATATTTTCTATTCTGGCAAATGTTGAGAAAAAGGTCTAACGAATTGGTAATCCATTCACCTGCCCAAGCCTGCCACGTAATCATTTTGCAAACAGACAAGTATAAGGTAACGAATTAGTAATCTACACGAATTATTTAAAAAAGTTCTTCCTGTTTTTTTTGGGGGGGGGCTTTTTTAACGATGGGGTCAGTTAATTTAAATAGTTCTACATGTAAATAACTTCGTGTATGATTTGAGTAGGACTTTTTGTATGAGTTCAGTCACCATACCTTATTTAAATAGCAGTCCTATTTTGAAAATCTGACTGTTACGTTTTAATAAATCCGTTTGCGTTTTTTTTCTTTTTATTTCGCCATCTAAGAAAATATTTTAACATGCAAAAGAATACATATTCAAACTCACAAAATACAGTGTAACCCGGATATAAGAGTTGTCGGGACCGGAGAAGAAGTCTCTTATATCCGGGTATGGTCCATTTTATATACATTAACACAGGCTCTAATTTGGGACCAGAGAAAATCTCTTATATCCGGGTTACACTGTAAAAAGAAACTGTATTCAATATGAATTTTGATTCTTTTTATGTGCCGTGTCCTTTCAGGACGTAGGCGATCATGGCCCTCCACATTCCCCTATATCTTGTGGCTTTCAATAGGTTTTGTGTTTCTGCTAACTCCCCAGACCACGCTCCGCCATTCACCTGCCCAAGCCCGCCACGTAATCATTTTGCAGAGAGACCAAAATGTTCTATTGTAACAATCTTTATTATTAAGACGAAAGACCAAAGGATTTTTTTTATTATTATTAAATTGAATTTTTTAATCCATTTTAGAACCTTCGAAATCTTGGTTAAAATTTCTTATGTCAGCGGGTGACCATAAATTAGCAAGAGAAATTATTTTTGCGGTGAAAAACACATTGATTTGAAAATTCTTGCAAAAATCGGGTAATCGTCGGATTTTAATGAAACTTTCAAATGAATGAAAATTATTTTAGAAACATTTCGTTTTTAGGATATCTAGATAAAAAAAATATCTTTTTACATCTGTTACCACCACTTATTTAATTTTATTAAAATTTCGAGAAATTTATTTTTGTAGGTTTAATGTTTATATTAGTTATAAGTACAAGTCCTTGGAGAATTTAAATCATCAATATTTTTTGTCACACGGGACTCTCCCCTCCACCCAGTCACAGGTAATCTGCTCTGAATCGTAAGAAATGCTTTTAATTGCTCTTATGAATGATATATTATAAATACTGTTGTCTTAAATATATATATATATATATATATATATATATATATACTTTTAAGAAAAAAATATATATTATAGACAATATCGTCTTCAGAAAAAATATAGCATATAGACACTCGTCTTAAAAGATTTTCGATGAATAATTAATTTTTACAATTTAAAAAAAAATTATAATAATTTATAAAGTTTAAAATCTTTTAAACTTCTCTATTAATTTGTAGCGGTTAGGTGATACTATTAAGTAAGCACATTTTGTTTTGGTTTCCGTAGTGAATCAATTTACAATGAATTTACATAACGAACTGGTCTCCCATTAATTTCTCTAAAACTTGATATTATTTTTTCATATTCGTGATCTAGGGTACTTAATCTATAGTAATATGAAAACAAAATATTTCTAGTAGCAGTGGCTACTGAAGAGCTCCAAAGATTTTTCTTGTGCCTAAAATAGCAGAAAAAAATTAGTTAGTCGGGTTGCAACGAAAAGTCTGACGTGGCTGACAAGCGAAGTCTACCTTGTAACGGCAACAAAAGTCAAATGACTGGTAACATTCGGTACTCTCTCCTACCGCGTAACAAGTGAGCTCTACAAAGGACCTGTAGAGGAATATATTTATTTTGTAAAAAATAGAAAATTGTGGCACACGGCCGAAGGGCGGGAGAGAAGGCTGGTTATTCACTAGCTGTCCTATTCCCAGTTAACCACAATCATGACCCATTCATTCATTACAATTACATATTCACCACAAGAACTCATCCATCCCCTTCCAAATCTGCACACACCACAATACCACATATACACAAGGGTCCTACAAAACACCCCATGGATTATAAATTTATAGTGTAAGGATCTGTAGAGGAAAATAACTGAACTTGCGACTGAAAGTAGCACCTTTTAAACTCTCAAGGTCTCGTTCAACGTGATTCGACGAGACCAGAGCGTCTATAAAAATCGTCAATCCTTTGGCCCTGGTTCGGCCCGGGAGAAAAATTAATATTTTAGATGATGATGACGATAGAGCACATACTTCCCCCTCCCGACCTACCCTCGGTGAGTACAAATACCTTGTTCCTTTTTTAGTCATCACAATAGAGATTATACTTGACAATTGAGTCAGGTTGTGACACAAGGTCGGATTTTAACGTGGAGACTCGAGTGTTTTCACTCGGGCCGATGGTCAAAGCTGGTCATGGCCGGTCATATCACCGCTACGTAACAGATATCACGCAACAGTGACGGGGGGAACGCAGGAGAGGAGAAAAGCCTCCGGAACGGAACAGATACTACAATCCTGACATCGGTATTATATATTTAACGAAATCCCTCAGTGAGGAATACTAAGAGAGGGTAAAGGAATAAGACCTTAATAGATAAAGGAGTAACGAACCCAAGGAGAAACAATCTATTCGGCCCAAACACGGCACTCGACAGAAGGAAAAAGAGAATCAGTCAGATATGGGCCATGCGTGATATACGCATCTTTCGATACATGACTGACGAGGCAGATTTTTCCCGCAGTAGGTTGCCATTTTTCTGCGGTAGACCAGTTGCAATTCAAGGCTACAGAATTCGGTCTGTCTTGCTATTTGCCCATAGCTAGGGGGGAGAAGACGAGGATTCATACTTTTCCCAAGGGTATTATTAGCATGTAAGTGAATGTAATGAATTCGACTGGAATTCGAACTCGGCTCTCCGATTCCTCAATCCGAGCCGTTATCCATTACTTGATTTTAAATTAAGCTATAATTTGTGGGGAAAAAAAAAATACAATATCTTAAAGGTTTTTCTCTTTGCTATCCTTACTTAGTATTATATATGTATACTAGCCGAATTACCCGTGCCTTGCTGTGTCACACATTTGTTTGTTAGAAAATGAGGATTAATTTTAAATCATTGTTATAATTTGTGGAGATCTTGCCGATGTGACATCCATCTTCTGGCTTTCTCCTATATTTTGCACAGGAGTCATTCCCTTGTTCAAATTTAATTCTAAGGGAAATAAATTCAGTGGGGATTCAAAAGCAGCTTGATCTGACCCATTTGATATGTATTTGATGAAATACTTGATTGAATGAACTCATGGGCAGATTTCAACATTGATATAACTGTTTAATTGTCACAACAAATATGTATTGTTTGACCCTACCCAGTGATTGGTGATTTCTTACTCAACTTGACGCCCATATTGTCTCATTTTGATTTGTCCATGTGACCTCCATCTTCTGGCTTTCTCCTTCTATATTTTGTTTTGGATAGGAGTCATTCCCTACAACTATATATATATATATATTAAGAAATGGACAACGTCCGACAATTTATTTATTAAAGACATTTTTATGTTTAACGTTCTTTTTTTTTTATATATATAGATACAAGTATTTAAGTAAATGCTCTGTTTTTAATAAACAGTATTTTCTAATAAAATTTCAAATTCCGGCCTGAAATGTTATTTAATTGTTTATTATAAAAGCATTTCTCTTAAATACTTGTATCTATAAAAAAAAAAAAAAAAAAGAACGTTAAACATAAAATGTCTTTAAATATATATATATATATATATATATATATATATTAATGTACACACACGTAGATGTGACTGTATTCTGGTTGACGTTAACATAAGGAAGAGACAGTTGAGGTTTCTAGGGCACAAATAAGGAAGGAGGGCTTAAAAAATCTAATACTCACAGGACAGATTGAGGGTAAGTGGGACAGAGGAAAACAATGCATAACATACTTGGCGAGCTTGGATGGTTAATTTGCAGTATAAGCACCAAAAGTCCCCGGTATTGAGAATGTACCATTCTGGTGTGAAATTGTCTGGTTATTTCGAAAATGACATTAAAACTTTGCGCTCGATTACCATTTTCGATTTATCATCAATATAAGTTCGATCTATTTCGCTTTGTTCAGCCACCATTACTTTTACATACGTTTGCCTCTAGTCGTAATGCGCGGAAGCTTACTTAGTTAACGGCCTTTTTACAGCTTTTCGTATCTTACTGGTCTTGATTACTGCGCGATTTTCGCGGATGTTATTTTAAAATGCGCTTATTTTTTAAAATGAAGTTTTAAATGAATGGTATTTTTTTCTTTATTGTCCTTAATAAATCTGCTTATAGCTAATGAAACAGAATCTCACCCTAAAATGTAATTTATGAAGCTTTAAATTCAAGAAACATCATTAAAAAAAAAAAAACATTTTGAAAAAAAAGGAAAAAAATCCATTTTTTTATTATTTTTCAGGCATGTAATTTTTATTTTATTTTAATTATCGGATTTTACGGGGGTTTTTTTTTTTTTTTTTTCATTATTTCGCGCATTGCGTAGTAATCAAGACAAGTCAAGCTTACGCGCCGCATGACGACTCGAGGTGAACGTATGTAAACAAAGACAGTAATGGCGGACGTTCTGAGTACGCGACGAGAAAGAAGTCGAACTTACATTGTCCATTATTTCTAAACGGTAATCGATCGCAATGTTTTAATGTCATTTTCGAAATAACCAGGCAATTTCACACCATAATGGTACATTCTCAATACCGTGGGCTTTTTGGTGCTTATACTCCAAATTAACCACTTGGGTAAATGAATCATGGAACAGGGTATAGGAGAAATAACGAAAAGACAAAATTTATTAAGTGCTACAAGCCAGATTTGAATAGAGCATGTACAATTACGCATTAATGTAAGTAATCTGGAAATTTTTAATGCGTACTGAGGGTGGGTCTTACATCGCGAATTAACCGCAGCGTTTTGAGAAGGTCTTAATGAGAAAAAAAGCTTTAGGTAAAACAAGTTTAAAAGTAGTATATGAATTCCATACACAGTTGACTGAACGTGTACTTAACAGATTCTGCCTTGGAATCCTGAAAATCGTTTGATCGTTGACCATCCTGGATATGACCATAAACTATATCCGGCAGCAAGGCCTCTAATCAGGAGGTTTTGAGGAGCATGGAACCACCTCTTAAGTGCTGGTGTTCCCAGGTCTACTCTGACCCGGTGTGGTAAGACCTGTTAGGGTCCCATCTATGGGCAAATAGTTAACCCCCAAACTGGGGTTAAAACACAATTAAAGTGGGAAAATAGGTTTTAATACCAGCAATATTTTTTTTGAAGGAAAAATTATTACCAGCAATATTTTTTTTGAAGGAAAAATTATTACCAGCAATATTTTTTTTGAAGGAAAAATTATTACCAGCAATATTTTTTTTGAAGGAAAAATTATTACCAGCAATATATTTTTTGAAAAAAATATTACCAGCAATAAAAATCTTGTCGGCATTAAATAACTCATTGAGATTGATATGCCGTAAAACAAAACAAACCAAACCAAACTTATTCTTTGAGTTTGCTTTCTTCTTCCATGTGCTGTATCTCTTCAAGATCATAGCTCTCCACAATTTCCTGATCTTTGTCGTGTGGAAAAATAAGTGAATTGACGCGCGTGTGTGTGGGGGGGGGCGGTCAGACGTTGGAGGCGGAGTGTTTTGCCATGCTTAACTTCCGGCTTGTTGCTTTGATCTTCAAAATTTTAAATGCAATGTCCATCATTATCTTCTACCTTAATTCCTGTTCTTTTAGTGTTCTCTCTCCTTATTTTTTTTTCTTTTTCTCATTCTCTCACACTCAGCTTGCCCCTGTGATTTAGTGGCCTTGTTTGTGGTGAAATGATTTTTAATAAGGCAAACATGATGTAAGATTACGTAATGTTAATATTCTTGATAAAGAGGGCCTCTTTGCATGTAACAACCAATATCTGAAATCATTATAGGTTTATATGATTCTGTTAATGGAGAAAATTTCTTTTCTTTGAAAAACTGCAAAAAGATATGTGGAACAATTATTTGGTGAGAAAGGAAAATCTCCGTGGAGGTCAGAATCCAGAACATAAGAGTTTCTTCTCTCGCACTCCTCGCTTGTGGAACGTTCTTCCGGTTTGTTGCGTTGTTCTTCAAAATTTTAAATGTAATGTCCATCGTTATCTTTTATTTTCTTAATTCCTGTTATTTTATTGTCCTCTCTCCTTAATAGTAGTTTTTTCTCATATTCTTTTACATTCAGTAAACCCTTGTATCATAGTGGCTTTATTGCCTTTGATTTTCAAAAATTAAAATGCAATGCCAATCATTATCTTCTGTCTTATTAATTCCAGGTTTTTTTATTGTCCTCTCTCCTTAATAGTAGTTTTTCTCTTATTCTCTAACACTCAGTAACTCCTTGCATCCTAGTGGCTTTATTGCCTGGAAAGTGGAGTAACATTTAGAAAATGTAGTGATGAAAAAAAAAGAATCAAAACCGAGTTTAGGACTAAGTTTCCTAAGCTGTTCAAATTGTTTTATTGGAAAGTTTATATATCAGCATATATTGGTGACAAAATTGACTTCACAAATATTACTAACATTGTAAATGAATCAATAAATCCTTTCCATAAGCTTTGTTTTGTTTTTTTTTTTTTTTTTTTTTTTTCATACCATCTACACATTTACAAAGCATTCAAACAAAAGACAAAAGAAGCTAGATTGCCGGAAAAGTTTCATCAATCTACATTTGAAATGGCTAAACGCAACCGTAAGTTCTATGCTAACCGTTTCTTCACTCGTACATCTCACTTGTGAAAATCTCTTCTGGCTCCATGCTTTCCAGTCAAGTTTGCATTTAAATTTTTGTAGATCAATGCCAATCGTTATCTTCTATCGTAATCCCTGTTTTTTATTGTTCTCTTTCCTTAATGTTTTCTTATCTTCATATTTCTTCACACTTAGTAACATCTTGCGTCTTAGTGACTCTATTCCCTTGCTGGGTGAAATGAGTTTAAAAAATATTTTAGACATGTACAGTGGAATGAGAACCATCTACCTCCATAGATTAAATAAAGGGTTCCGAAATTCACTGAAGGTTAACTCACCCTGTCTAAGAACCTGATAATGGCCTTAGGGTAAAACAGCCGAAAGGTTGTGTTGTTAACAAAGATGAAGACAATAGTTCGAGGGTAAATAATGTCTACTGTGGTGACTAAAAAAAAAGAACAAGGTATTGTACTCACTGAGGGTAGGGAGGGAGGGAGAAGTATGTGCTCTGTCGTCGTCGTCTAAAATATTAATTTTTCTCCCGGGCCGAACCAGGGCCAAAGGATTGACGATTTCTATAGACGCTCTGGTCTCGTCGTATGACGTTCAGCGAGACCTAGAATCACGTTCAGCAAGACCTTGAGAGATTAAAAGGTGCTACTTTCAGTCGCAAATTGAGTTCTTTTACTCTACAGATCCTTTGTAGAGATCACTTGTTACGTAGAGGAGAGTGCCGAGTGCCATTTGACTTTTGTTACCGTTACAAGGAAGACTTCGCTTGTAAGCAACGTCAGACTTTTCGTTGCAAGTCTTGAAACCGTCTTTTCTCCCCCCCCCTTACTCGTCGGTGAGATAATCCCGACAATACTCCTTCTCCAAGAAATTCAGACAGGAATCATTTCCGAAATATTCCACTTCATTTCTGCATCTGCGAAAAAAAAAATCAACTCTTTCAAAATCGGGAAAGCTACATGACTTCTAATATCAAACAACTTATCAACAATATCTGTCTATATTTCTGAGATGTGGTATTGTAATTATTTACATTGTTCGGACTGTTGTCCTCATCTTTGTTGCCATGTTCATGACGTTTCAGCCGTTGTACGCTCCGGCCTTCTTCAGGTGATTGGAATTTCGAACTGAACCCTTTATTTCGTCCATCGCGGGAGATTGTTATAGTTCCACATACCATGTCTCTTACGGGTGTCTCAGTTATCTCCCTTTAACTCGACAAAGTTCTTTTTTTTTTTTTTTTTTTTTACCCCTGCAATAGCCAAGTATAGAACTCACAACTCTTTAGGTCAAGTCACTGGACCCAACCAATGCTTTTATCTCCTGGGCCATGTGTCCTTGAAGATATTCCAATCCCCTGAAGAAGGCTGGGGCGTACAACGGCCGAAACGACATGGATATGGCAATAAAGATGAGGACAACAGTCCGAACAATGTATTGTAAATACAAATAGTCACATAGTGTAATTTCTGATTAGAAAAATAATGCTTTCTGCACTAGCAGCAAACGTAAGAAGACTGGATAAATAAAAACGACTTTGAAATTTTATAAATCTGAATTTATAACTAATTATAATCCCAACTTTCTACATCCGTTCCCCGTTGTATTTACAATTAAATATAAACAAAATTAAAAAAAAAAAAAAAAAAGAAATGCTGAAAATTGGATAAAAGACCAATAAAAAAACAATGATGAAAAACAACATATATTTATATTGCGATAATAGCCAATAACCCACTATTGGGTATTTTAGTAAAAATATCAAATTATAGATGGACAGCAGATTACAAAAAGTAAAACAAAATAAACAACAAAAAAAATTCGACCATAGAAAAAAAAAACAACCTAAACTCGGATCTACAGAATGAGGGAATTCATATAATCGCTGTCTCCAAACATTGCATTGAGAAAAATGGACGCTAATATTGTTAAAATAATAAGATTTGGTTGGTATATAAATGAAACAAAGTTGCTATTAGAACAATTCTTTAATTTTTTTTTTATATATTTTCTCTTTCTTTTTATAGGTCCTTATTTATTTCATATACGTTTTCCTTTTTTTATTCTTTCTTTCACTTATAGTTTTTTTTTCTTCTATATCCTTGTTTTTATTTTCACGTCTTCCCTAGCTTTCTCTTTTTTTCCTCGTCTTTTTCTTTTCTCTTTTTTCTCGTGTTTATTTCCTTTCTTTCTTTCCTCGTTTTTTTTCTCATCCTTCACATGCCCCTTTTCCTTTCTTTCTTTACTCGTCTTTTTCCTCTCTTTCTTTACTCGTCTTTTTCCTCTCTTTCTTTACTCGTCTTCTTTTTCCTCTCTCTCTTTACTCGTCTTCTTTTTCCTCTCTCTCTCTCTTTACTCGTCTTCTTTTTCCTCTCTCTCTCTCTTTTATATCGTCTTTTTTCCTCTCTCTCTCTCTTTTTACTCGTCTTCTTTTTCTCTCTCTCTCTCTTTACTCGTCTTCTTTTCCTCTCTCTCTCTCTCTTTACTCGTCTTCTTTTTCCTCTCTCTCTCTCTTTACTCGTCTTCTTTTTTTCCTCTCTCTCTCTCTCTCTTTACTCGTCTTCTTTTTCCTCTCTCTCTCTCTCTTTACTCGTCTTCTTTTTCCTCTCTCTCTCTCTCTTTACTCGTCTTCTTTTTCCTCTCTCTCTCTTCTTTACTCGTCTTCTTTTTCCTCTCTCTCTCTCTTTACTCGTCTTCTTTTTCCTCTCTCTCTCTCTTTACTCGTCTTCTTTTTCCTCTCTCTTTCTGCTCTTCGTCTCTTTTTTCACTTTCAAGAAACATGTGAATGCAAGGGAAAAGAAGAGAAAAGAGGTGAAAGCAAGGGAAAATGAGAAAGAAGAGTGAAAGAAAGAGAGAAAAAAAATCTTTTTCTTTCATTTTCCCTCTTTGTTTTTTCTTCTTTCTCTCCTTTAAGCTCTACTGTTTTGTCAAATGTTCCCTATTTTTCTCAAATTTTTTTTTTTTTTTGTCTACTCACATTTTCAATTTTTTTTTTCTTTCTTTCATTATGTGATTCACTCTCTCCCTCTCACACACACGTTTTTCTTTTGTTATCATTTCATCTATTTCCCTAAATTCATTCCCAATATTTATTATGTTTGCGGGGTGGGGAAAAAGATATAATAGCACAGAGTTATCTGCTCCTAATGCTGACAAAATACACCTAACTCTTTCAAATTGATATAATCATTCCTCCTCATCGACGTGCTATTCCACAAGTTTGTTGTGCAAAATTTCACTGTTTTCCCTCAAATTGGAAAATAAAATAAAACAGGAAAGAAAGAAAAGGATTTGGATAGGTTGGGCTGGGATGGAAGCAATGAAAAATAAAAATGAAACAAATCAACTCCTCCTTCTTTGAGACATTCTGGAATAATGCTGGATATTTTGTCTGAAAATAGTTCTGATCTGAACGGAGTCTTCGATAAATGCGCTGTACTTTCCGAGGTAGAGAATATCTGTCGGCAACAAAATGCCAATGGCAATACACCCAGAAATTCATTCAGTAGTGCCTTATCTGGGAGATAATTACTAGGAAAGGTAAAGAATGGGAGTAGGGGAGGAAGAAGAAAAAGAATGTGGAGATGAGGGGAAACATGCAGTTGGATTTATGAAATGAGGGAGAAGACAGTGTGAGATGCCAATGGTGACATTTTGTCAAAAAGGATAGAAACGGGGGAAATTTACATGAAGCAAAAAAAAATTTTTTTTTTTTTTTTCATTATGAAACATTTTAAAGAAAGGAAAAAAAAAATACTGAAAATATAGAAAAAAAGAAATGAGAAGAAAAATGGTGGTAACAATAGAATAAGTGTGAACAAAATGTTAACGATCAAGCAATATGAAAAAAAAATAAGAGAAAGATTTTTGAGGGAAACAAAAAAATTTCCAATAAAAAAAGAGAATGATATTAAAGGAAAAATGAGAAGAAATGTTGGAAGATAAAGAGAATAAAAATACTGAAGGAAAAAAAGTATATTGAAGAAAAAGGGATGAGCGAAGAAAAATATAGGAAGCGGAGAAGAGAAAAAATATTAAAAGAAAAAAGGGTAGAATGAAAACAATATTGAAGGAAAAAAGGCTGAACAAAAATACTGAAAGAAAAAGGTGGAATAAAGAAAAATATTGATGGAAAAAAAAATACTGAAAGAAAAAGAATGAAAAAAATATTGATGGAAAAAGAGGAATGAAAAATTAAAATAGGAGGAAAATTAAAAGGAAAAAAAAAGGGTAGACTGAAGAAAAATATTGAAGGAAAAAGGGCTGAACAAAAAAATAGTAATGAAAGAAAAAGGGTGGAATGAAGGGAAAAGGTCTGAACAAAAAAAATAATAATGAAAGAAAGTGGAATGAAGGAAAAAGGTCTGAACGAAAAATAATAATGAAAGAAAAAAGGTGGAATGAAGAAAAATATTGAAGGAAAAAGGGCTGAACAAAAAAATAGTATTGAAAGAAAAAGGGTGGAATGAAGGGAAAAGGTCTGAACAAAAAAATAATAATGAAAGAAAGTGGAATGAAGGAAAAAGGTCTGAACGAAAAATAATAATGAAAGAAAAAAGGTGGAATGAAGAAAAATATTGAAGGAAAAAGGGCTGAACAAAAAAATAGTAATGAAAGAAAAAGGGTGGAATGAAGGGAAAAGGTCTGAACAAAAAAATAATAATGAAAGAAAAAGGGTGGAATGAAAGAAAAAGGCTGAAGAAAAATATTGAAGGAAAAAGGGCTGAACAAAAAAATAGTAATGAAAGAAAGTGGAATGAAGGAAAAAGGTCTGAACAAAAAAATAATACTGAAAGGAAAAGGGTGGAATGAAAGAAAAAGGCTGAACAAAAAAATAATAATGAAAGAAAAAAGGTGGAATGAAGAAAAATATTGAAGAAAAAAGGGATGAGCGAAGAAAAATAGTGAAGATTGAAGAATAAAGGGTGGAATGAAGAAAAATATTGAAAGTAAATGGCTGAACTAAAGAAAATATTGAAGGAAAAAATGAAAAAAGTAGGAAAATATTGAAAATAAAACAAATATTCAAACATTAAAAAAAATGGAGGCATTAAATAAAATAATGAGGATTATAAAAAAAATAAATGAATGATAAGACTGATGAAAAGAAAGAAAATGGTGACAAAAAGGATGAGAATAAAGAAAAAAAGTATAAAGAAAAATAGAATAAAACAAAATAACAAGGAAACATAAAAAATGGTGAATGTAAGAAAGAAGAAAAATGAAAAAAATCGAATAAAAAAAAAAAAAATATGTGGATGAAGAAATGGATGTAGAAGAATAAGAAAAGACTTGTGGGGAAAATGCCTGGAATAAAAAGAAATAATAATTAAAATAATAATGAAAGAATTTCTATACTAATGAATATGTGGGTGAAAAAATCTGCCGTAGCAAAAGAGACTAAACAGGAATGAAAACGAGGCAAAAAGAATGAAAACGAGGCAAAAAGAATGAAAATAAAACTGACAAGAGAAATGCAGATGAGATTTTTTTTTTTTACCCTTTTCAAAATATTCCAAAGTTAAAACTAAACTTTGAAAACAATAAAAAAAATATATAAAACCGTTAAGAAATCAAAAATAAAATTAAGTGAAAAACAAGATGTCTGCAAAAAAACAAAAAAACAAAAATCCAACAATTTTCAGGTTGAATTTTTCCTTATTAGCAAATAACGAATGAAAATTAAGAGATGATTTTACAGAGTTAACCCTACCTTGAGAATACCACCTGAGGGCTCCCTGACAGAATTGTTGCATTAATTGGTTTCTGCCAGTGTATATCTTTGGAAAGAATATAAAAGAAGAGAGGGGTAGGGAAAGAGTGACTGAAGTGAGAAACCGTTAAAAAGAATCTGAAAGAAAAAAAAAAAAATTCCATGAAAAAGTTTGAGAAATAAAACAAACAAACAAAATTGCAAACTTTCAGAATTAAAAAAAAAATAAAAATAAAAAGACTGTTTACCTTGGGCTATTCCTTTTATTTTCATGGGTGTATCAGAAGTTATTGCTTCAAGCAAGTAACACGCTAACTTAACTAACACTACCGCCCATAACACTACAGTCTCTGAGAAGAAGAAAAAATTAAAATGAGAAAAGAGAGAGAGGAAACAAGTGGCCCAATCAAATTTTAAGTAAAACAGAAATTATAATTAATTATTTGTATCTTTTAAGAATAATTAAATGAGATCCAACTACAAATTTTACCACCCCAGCAAATATTTGTCTTTACAAAAATTTAATTTTTTAAATTTACTTTTCAAGTTTCAGTTTAAACGAGAATTTAATTCACATAATTAGCAAATTAAAAAGTTAGAAACCGAGAATTATCGTACAGGGTGCGGCAGAAATACCTCATACATTTTAAACATTTTAACTTGAATCCCATTCAGATTTTATTCTTTCCTCAATCCCTGCTATACCCAATCTTTCAATTTCACTCTCTGTAACCCCCTGCATACTAGTGGCTTTCCCACCTTGCTTAGGGTGTAATGATTAAAAAAATCTTCAAAATGTGAGTGATATTTCTGCCGTATCTTTTATATTCCTAGCTTTTAGAAAGACTTAGTAAACTTTAGATAATGGCCAGTTTGAATACAGATATCACATTCACAGGAAAGATATTTAAAGAAAACATTTTATATCTTAGATTAATTAGTAATGGAATTTTTTATGTTCCATGTCTCTTCTAGATGTGGACAGTCATGGTTCTTCGTGATTTCCTATCTTTTGTAGCGCTTAGTAATTTGTCTTTTTTACTATTTTTCCCGCTCCTTGTTCTTCCAACAATTTACACAAGCTTATTAGGTAAGTTACTCTTCTCTTCCATATGCCTTGTCCCTTCATAACTTTGGTGATCATAGATTTACAAAGAACAGGAGATTGTAGGTAGCCATGATTGCCAATATCCTGAAAGGACATGACAAATAGAAGAAAAAGAAGTTCTTGAAAAGATTAAAAAAGATTTGGATAGCAAAAGATGTCTTCCAAAAGCTAAGCAAAGTATTAAAAAACAAAAACATTCTTTTGGTTTGTTTTGTTTTACGGTATATCAACCCCAATGAGTTATTTAATGCCGACAAAATTTTTATTGCTAGTAATTTTTTTTTTCTTTTCAAAAAATATGTCGCTGGTAATAATTTTTTTTCAAAATTGTATTGCTGGTAATAATTTTTTTTCAAAATTGTATTGCTGGTAATAATTTTTTCCAAAATTGTATTGCTGGTAATAATTTTTTTTCAAAATTGTATTGCTGGTAATAATTTTTTCCAAAATTGTATTGCTGGTAATAATTTTTTCCAAAATTGTATTGCTGGTAATAATTTTTTTTTTTTTCAAAATTGTATTGCTGGTAATAATTTTTTTCAAAATTGTATTGCTGGTAAATAATTTTTTTTCAAAATTGTATTGCTGGTAATAATTTTTTTCAAAATTGTATTGCTGGTAAATAATTTTTTTTCAAAATTGTATTGCTGGTAATAATTTTTTTTTTTTTCAAAATTGTATTGTTGGTAAAGTTTTTTTTTTTTTTTTGTATTGGTGGTAATATTTTTTTTTTCAAAATTGTATTGCTGGTAATAATTTTTTTTTTTTTTCAAAATTGTATTGCTGGTAAAGTTTTTTTTTTCAAAATTGTATTGGTGGTAATATTTTTTTTTTCAAAATTGTATTGCTGGTAATAATTTTTACAAAGTATTCTGGTATTAAAACCTATTTTTACATTTTCATAGTGTTTTGACCCCAATTTGGGGGTTAACTATTTACCCATATCCAGGACACTAACAAGTGCTACCACCCCGGGTCAGAGTGGACCTGGGAACACCAGCAATTAAGAGGTGGTTCCACATTCCTCAAAACCTCCTGATCAGAGGTCTTGCTGTTGGACATAGTTTGTCTTAACCAGGACACGGATGTAGTTTATCGTCATACCCAGGTCGGAATATTCTGTTATAAACAAAGAAAAGAGTACTGAACTGTTAATGCTGGACACACTCCTCACATATGAAGAAACAACCTGAAGCAGCAGAAATGTGGTTCTACAGAAGGATGCTGAGAACAGCATGGACTGAACATGCAAGCAGTATTAAAATATCAGAAAATGCAAACAAAAAGGACATTTGTACGTAACATCAGGAAGAGATAGCTGAAATTTTTAGGGAACATAATAAGGAAAGAAGGCTTGGAAAATTTGATACTCACAGGACCGATTGAAGGTAAGAGACAGAGAAAAGCAATGTATAATCAACCTAACGAACTTGAGTAAATGGATAGCGGAGTGAGGTTTAGGAGAGTTAGCAAAAAGACAAGATTTATTAAGAGCTACATAGGATAGGAAATTGTGGAGAGTTATAATCGCCAACATTCTGAGGGGACATGGCTGATAGAAGAAGAATCTAATTGATTTTATATAAGAGTTTTCATCTTTATTTGTAATGCAAAATGAAAGAAACCGTCTGAGAAGATGAGGAAAATATCTTGTAAAAAAAATTAACTCCTTAACAGCAGATGTGAAGAATTTCCATCATTGATCTTCCATAACTCAATTGCAAATGGCGGAAATTAAATGCATTCAACTGAAATTGCATACTAGGGGATTTTTTTTGTAAGAAGTTATTTATACATAAAAAAAAACATCACTAAGAAATTACAAAAAATAATGCAATTAAGGCAAGTTTTTAGTATTAAGAAACAGAAAATAAATAAATTTGAATATAGTAATACTTTTTTTTTTATTACAGTAAGGTTCACCCTGTACAAGGCTCAGAGGCCACATGAGGTAGAAGGTTACATTAAGGGGTAGTTTATATGTATAGGAGGGCAAGATAATGGTTAACTAGACTTGAACTGGTTAAGATTGCGTGATCGGGGAAAATATCCTCTTGGGAGTCTGTGCCACAGACCAATGGTTTGCAGGAAGAAGCTGTTCAAGTGGAACTTCTAATCAGTGGAATACAAAGGAAATGTGGGTGTTTTGCTACAATTGGTGTGGCATGGTGAGTGAAGGTTGGAACTGGCAGAACCAGGGAATATAGTTTATCCAAGTATTTTCTATAGAAGTAGTGATAGAGCAATGAGAGGCATGCCACATCCCGCCTGTGATACAGAGATTGGAGGATGGAAAATAGTTTGTCACCCACAAGGACTCAGACGTTTTTGGACTCTATCAAGACTGGAAAGTGGGGACAAGGCAGCTCTTGCTTAAATATGACAATAGTGCTCCATTTTAATCCTTATCTGGCTCTTGTAAAATTAGAGGATAGTATAACTCCGCAAAAGAACCGACAAAGAACTTTGAAAAAATTTAACATAAAGAACAATTTTTTTAAAAAAGGGGTCAAAAATTACTTTTTACTTGTCAACCATTTCATTGAAAAAAAAAAAAAATTCCAATTCACCAAATAGTAATGATTGAGATCTTGAAGAATTTGTATACTTTGTCTAAGTTTCTAGGATTTTTCACTTTTCGGCTTGGGGAGTCCAGACGTTGTTTCAGTGGAAACACAGTGAACAGTTACTGGGAAATATTAAAATAAGAACAAGACAAGATGTCCCTAGACATGGGCCGGAGAGTGAGCTCAATCTACCCCCCGTAAGAATCAAAATAAGACATACCTATATCACTCATTCATTTCTTCTGGAAAAAAAAAAAAAATGAACATCCTCTCGAATACACAGCACATCAGGAAGCATATACAGTAATCCCTCGATTAGTCCAGCTAATGCATACCTTAAAAGATACGCACTAATCGAAAACACATTAATCAAATATAATAGTTATGTGCTATACGTGATATTTCGTTTCCTGCAGTAGGTTGCCATTTCTTTCTGCAGTAGATCAGTTGCCATCCAAGGCTATAGAACTCTTACTGTTATTTTTTTTAATTCAAGATTATTTCTTGATATTATTTCCCAAGATACTTCCAGACATTTTCAAAGCATAAAGATGCTTTCACAACTTTACACTCTAAAGATATCCACAGCCGCATTGCTGTAAGTACCTTGTGGAAGTAATATTGGGAAATGCATCTATGATCTTGGACCATCAGTAAATCACTTGTAAGAAACCACTGAAAATTAAATGGAAATAATGGCTCAAAAACAACAAAAAAAAAAAAAAAAAATTAAAACATTTTTTTGGTCTTTAATCAAATATGCAAAAAAGAGAATATGCCGGCAAGATTCTTACTCACACACATATATATATATATATATATTGTATGTATATATATATATATATATATATATATATATATATATATATATATATATATATGTGATGACATTCTAAACAAAGTACAGACAATTAAAAAACGGATTCAGTCCTCTGCACCAAATATTCTTCTTCTGCAGACAGTTATCAGGAATTGACTTTGGTGGTTCTACCAATTCAGATTTCCCAAAAAAAAAAAAAAATACGTCTAATTACCTTCACAAAAGCTATCAGTCCGAATTTTGATGGCTTGGCAAGTTTTCTCTGCGTTAATTTGCCTTCTTGCACTTCTTGTTGTTAGACTAATCATAGCAATTAATGCAAAGATGATGATATCAGATGGATAGACGAATAACGGAGGAAAATGTCATGGTGAAGCGGGCAGTGGGTAGGAGGACATTACAATTGTGCTCTTCTAAGAGAAGTTGACAAAGTTAAAAAAAAAAAAAAGTAATGGAAGAAAAAATGTGTTAAGTGTTATCTGTTTAAACAAGCTGTCTTTAGAAAAGAAAAATAAGCCAACATCACCTTTATATAGCTTTGCATGCGCAAGTTCAATCCTGACAGATGGCAGTAGTTATGTCTCTTCTTCTCAGCACTTGGATAAAACACTTTTCAGAATTCAGATTTGTTTTTTTATGCTTTATCGATACTTTCAAATATTTCGGATTGTGAATTTTTTTTCTTTTTTTAGTAAAATATTGAATTCCACGTGCAAGTCTCATTATTTAACCCATAGCTGGTGAGGGAATAAGAGATGGATTCATATTTTTCCCCAAGGGTATTTGCACATAAGTGAATATAACAAGCTCAAGAGGAATTTGAACTTGGCTCTTCAGTTTCTCATTCTGACTTGTTACCCATTACATTGCCTGCACATCCTGTTTTTGATGAACTAAGCAAAGTATTAAGAGATAGGAAAATATCTTTAGAAACAAAAAAGTAGTGCTGAACTGCTATGAATATCTAATCACCTATATGGCAGTGAATGATGAACAATCTCATCATGCCTTTCATAAACTAAGCAAATATTAAGAGAGGAAAATATTGGTAGAAACAAAAAGAGCTTTTCATCTATCTCTATTCATCTCTCTCTATCTCTATTCATCTCTCTCTATCTCTATTCATCTCTCTCTATCTCTATTCATCTCTCTCTATCTCTATTCATCTCTCTCTATCTCTATTCATCTCTCTCTATCTCTATTCATCTCTCTCCGTCTCCCTCTCTCTCTCCGTCTCCCTCTCTCTCTCCGTCTCCCTCTCTCTCTCCGTCTCCCTCTCCGTCTCCCTCCCTCCCTCTCTATTCAGGGCCTCTCTCTCCCCTCTCTCTCATGTCTCTCTCTCCCTCCCTCTCTATTCATATCTCTCTCTCCCTCCCTCTCTATTCATATCTCTCTCTCCCTCCCTCTCTATTCATATCTCTCCTCCTCCCTCTCTATGTCTCTCTCTCTCCCTCCCCTCCCTCTCTCTCTCTCTCTCTCTCTCTCTCTTCCTTCCTCTCTCCCTCCCTCTCTCTTAATATCTCTCTCTCTCCCTCTCTCTCTCTATTCATATCTCTCTCTCCCTCCCTCTCTCTCTATTCATATCTCTCTCTCCCTCCCTCTCTCTCTCTGTTCATATCTCTCTCTCCCTCCCTCTCTCTCTCTGTTCATATCTCTCTCTCCCTCCCTCTCTCTCTCTGTTCATATCTCTCTCTCCATTTCTCTTTATCTGTTTCATCCAGACACCTTTTCCCAAGAACTGCTACTTTGTCAAACAGACTCTTGTGCTGGTGCTTTCCTGAATGCTACATTCTTAACCACTTCAAGTGAAGAGCCAGTCATTAACTATCCTCCTTATCCTCATAAACATCATTTCCTACCAGCTCCTCTTTCACTCATACCACACGTCATTCCTCATCCAGATGACCAGAGAATGGAAGCTGATCTCTTCTCTGATCTAGCTCAAACATCTTAGAGGGGAGAAAAAACTAGCTCCATACAATGCCTTGAAAATCAAACTACTTACATTCCATCATTGCCGACCGAGGCCCTGAACTACCACCAGTCACAATGAATAGATGCTCCCTCGGGGAGGCTCCGTTCTTTGAGCAACTATTAGGCCTAAAACTCTATTCAAACCTCAAGTGGAACTCATATATATGATCCATCACTAAAGATATAGGGAAAATGTTTGGTTCCCTGTACTGCTTCAGTAAGTACCTGACTCCTCATGCTATCCTCTACATTTATAAGATTGCCCTGTTGGCTAGGGCTTCAGAAAATGCCTACTGTACTTCTGCAGGTAGGTAAGACCCTTCCACAAATGACACGTCCTGGCTAAGATGATAAACTACATCTGACAGCAAGGCCTCTGATCAGGAGGTTTTGGGGAACATGGAACCACCCCTTAATTGCTGGTGTTCCCAGGTCCACTTTGACCCGGGGTGGTAGCACCTGTTAGGGTCCCAGCTATGGGTAAATAGTTAAACCCCAAACTGGGATCAAAAGGCTATGAAAGTGTAAAAATAGGTTTTTGTAAAAAATTGTTACCAGCAATGGATTTTGAAGAATGTTTTCTACCAGCAACACATTATCACTAGCAATACATTTTTGAAAAATATTACCAGCAATAAAAACCTTGTTGGCATTTAATAACTCTTTGAGGTTGATATGCCATCAGACAAAAGCCAAATCAAACCTTAATAGCCAGATCAAGCCAAAAATGGAGTATTGCTGCCATATTTGGGCAGGAGCTGCTCAGTTATTACTTTCCAGTTTTGATAGAGACCAAAAACATCTCTGCATCCTTTTGGGTGATGAATTATTTTCCTTCTTTCTCACAGACAAAATGTTGCAAACCTTTCACTGATGTATTGCTATTTAGATGGAAAGTGCACAAACTAACATTGTTATTTCCAGTATTTCTTACGTTTTCGGCTAAGACCCACCATGCTATGCACTTCATATTCCATTGTTAAGTAAATATCATTTGAGCGGGTTCTTCCCCCAAACCACTGCTCTGTTGAACTGACTTCCAAAGGGATATTTTTTCTTGATCACTACACTCTTAATCTGTTCAAGTCTAAGGCTAACTATTATCCTCCCCACATATCTACATGACCTATGCCTCTACCTCTAGTTACTCTCAGGCCTTGTACAGAGTGAATGTCACTGTAAAAAAAAAAAATAGTAAATAAATAAAAATAATCATTTTAACAGTAATGCTCTACCTTGAGTTGCTCTCGAGCTTTGTATCGGGTGAAGGAGGAAATTTAGTATAAAAAAAAATGTCCGCCTTTTTGACTTTAGGTGGAATTTGAAATTATCCGTTCACTAGGTTTTATACACATACAGACAAAACTAACCCCAACCAAGGTGAACACAGATTTTGTTCCAAGGTCAAAAGGAGGAGCTGTTTTTGCAATAACTCAGTCTGGACCATTCCCTTCAGGGGGAGAAAAAGAATCATGGGTTTTCTGAAAAACGTTCCGCCCTCCCATCCCCAACTTTCAATGCCAACTCCTCAAAGAATGAATGCCTCTATCCTAGACAAGATGGGAGGAGATATTTACTTTGAAATTTGAAATTCTTTTCACCACTTCTGAAGCACCGCCATCAACCCTCCCCCATGTCACAACTCCAAGGTCTCACTGAAAACCTGACATCAACAATATTTCACATTCAGAGATCCACTGCCAACTAGGTTTGTAAACAGGTCATCTTGGGTAGGCGGAGGCTGTCTCTGAGTGACGAGCGGACAACATCTTTTATATTGTCCTTTTATCAAAAGAGAGAGAGAGAGAGAGCAGACAGGAATTGTTTTGACTGCTAAATCTGGAAGAAATTCTTTGAATATTTTTGTTATGTGCCTTTAGGATGTTAACGATCATGGCCCTCCACGACTTTCTATCACGTGTAAAATTAAGCAATGTTTGTTTTCTTACTAACATTACGCATGTTACTGTTTCAACCTGTTCTTCTTGATTTCAATTATTTTGTGTCAAGTCCATTCAGGATATTAACGATCATGGCCTTCCACAACTTCCTGCTAGCGTCAAATTCTTGAAGTCGCCTTTTCTCATGTGTTCCAGAAATGTCAATCGTCTCCATCTGATCCAAAACAAAAGTGATCTTTTCACTCCTATGTTCTTTAACCTTTCACATTCTGCATTATTAATATTCCTTTTCTGCTGCATTCTTCTTCAAGGTCTCTCAAGTGTAGTATCCTTATAGCCTTGGTTGTCAACCAGTCTATTGTAGAGTGAAACATAACCTCTTCTGGGAGAATCTTCTGCCTAGTCAGTCATTAATTGAAAGAGACATGATCGCCGAGGCATGTATCACGTGATGGCATTTAACTGACCTGTGTAATTTTTTTTTATACCAAATCAATGTTATAGAAGTCTATAGAAAGTGCCCAACTTTTGGAAGGCATCTTTCGCTCTCCTAATGCACCTAGGGATTTCCATGTCGCACTTTCCTTCCTCTGCTAATACCGCAATTAGAAATTGCTATAGAAGACGACTTATTCTTTGATTTGGTAAATAAAATTAAATTTATTAAACTCTATATAAAAAAAAAAAAAAAGACAAATTTTCTTCATTGAACATTGTGACATATTTGGACATCATATTCCATTTTTTTTTTTTTTTTTTTTTTTTTTTCCAAAACAGCCCACAAAATGAAAGAGACAATTGTAATAATGTCATGTGTCTATTTCTTTCTGTAACTATTTATTTAATATGAAATAAAATCGTAGACACACGTGTGTTTCAGTGGCAATATTCTACAAGACATAAGTGTGGCAATAAATGTTTAAACAAAAGAGGTCTACATTATTTACATTATTCGGATTATTGTCCTCATTTTTGTCACCATATTTAATAAAACGTTTCAACGATTGTACGCTCCGGCCTTCTTCAGGTGGTTGGACTGTCGAACTGAACCCTTTATTTCGCTCACTGGGGTAGACTTTTCTACTTCCACATGCCATGTTTAATGGATGTCAGTTATCAGTTATCTCCTGTAATTTTCCCTCTGAAAGTTCTCCACTGCCCTAACCGGGTATTGAACTCACACTCTTTGGGTCCTGTCAGTGGATCTAACCAACGCCTTTATCCACTGTGCCATGTGTCCTCAAACGTTGGTTAAATTCAGTGACAGGACCCAAAGCGTTGCGAGTTCAATACCCGGTAAAGGCAGTAGAGAACTTGGAGAGGGGAAATAACAGGAGATAGCTGATAACTGACATCCATTAGACATGGCACGTGGAACTAGAACAGTCTACCGCAGTGAGCGAAATAAAGGGTTCAATTCGACATTCCAACCACCTGAAGAAGGCCGGAGTGTACTACGGCTGAAACATAATAAATATGGCGACAAAGATGAGGACAATAGTCCGAATAATGTAAATAATGTACATTATACCTAATCTCAGAAATATAGACAGATATTAAAAGAGGTTTATTTTATTAAAAGGTTCCTTGAGTATTTTCAAGGCTTATGACCACATCATGTTGAAATCTCACTGGCTCCTGATTAAACACTGAAGTTAAGCAATGCCGAACCTATTTAGTCTCGAGATGGGTGACCCCTTGGCAATACCAGGTGCTGTCAGCTTGGATATGCAGATGCTGTAATAAATAATGGATCGGAATTGTTAAGCGGAGAGCCTATAGTTTCTTTTTATTGTATAACTTCCTTATTTGTCACATGCTCTCTCCACTGTATTCTTAATCTTAACTTATAATGAAATAACGTATAGACCAGTGGTAACACATGACTTGAGTCTTTCATATTTAATATATTTTATTGCATTTACTTCACCAGTTACTATCAGCCAATGTCTGTGTGTGTAAGGAGCCCTCATCTGAACATGGGCCTTACATTCTCATCTGTAATTTCTGAGAGACTGCCTCATTCCTCTCTGGAAATGGTTATTTTATATATCTATTCTTGTGATGCAACTTGTTCCCATGCATGAAAAAAAATGGCATGCAGCTGTGTGGTCACAATTCACCTAGATCCACTGGAGGTCTTTAGTTTTTATTTTCCTACAGTAAAGTTCACTCTGTACAATGCCTGGTAGCCACTCGAGGTACAGAGTTACTGAGGAAGAGGCACAGTTTATACAGATAGGTAGGAAAGATAATGGTTAAACCCTGGTATGAAATTAAGTACAAACCTATTCCAGCACGATTTGCAGAGAGGCTAATACTGAACATTGATATAATTGTCTTGGTTGCACCTAGTTGCTTGTCCTGGGTATGACAGTAAACTACATCTGGCAGTAAGGCCTTGTTAGGGTCTCGGCTATGAGCAAATACTTAACACCCAAACTAGGATCAAGCACTATGAAAGTATAAAAATAGATTTTTATAGTGAAAATACCAATAAGTTTTTGAAAAAAAAAATTACAAGGAATAAATTTTTGCAAAGAAAATTACTAATGCTCCCAAGAGATATAAATGACCCATAATGTGTTGATATGCTGCTAAACAAACAAAGCATCTAGTTGTTCTTTTACTTATAAAAATACACAAGTTTCACTGATATAAAAGAAAGGAGACGACATCTGAATTAAAACAAAGAACATCCAAATAAAACTTTTTTTTTGTTTTTTTTTTCCATTTCATCCCAACTAAGGTGATAAAGCTACTAAGATGCAAGGGGGTTACTGAGAGTGAAGGCTACTGAGAAATTAATACTAAGGAAAAAGGACAATAATAAAAACAGGATTCAAAGAGACGGGTGATGATGTTTGATGTTATATTTAAAATTTTGAACATTTTAGTTGACATCAAAGGAAGATGCTAGGAAAGTGTTCAATGGTCAAAAAATATGAGAGTAGAAATGATTAGAATAAAACTGGTTACATTTAGCAGTTTCGGTATTTTTGCCCTCTGTCCTTCCTCAGGGTTGTATCAATCTGGGCAACCTGCAGAGATTTCCGAACTGAACCTTTTATTTAATCTACTTTAGACCGTACTTTAGACTGTTCCACTGCCTATGTCTAATGAAAACCAGATTTAAGAGTTCACTTAAAACATTTCATATCAAAGCCTGTGGAATCGGGAAATTTTAGATTTATAATATGATGAAAAAAATTAACTATATATTTTACCATATTAATTAACTAAGATATAAATTTTTTTTAACCATTTTAGTTCCTGGATATTACAGTTATCAAATTTTCAAGAAAGAACATCCGACTTGCAGACTGAAAAAATGCCAAGAAATTTTGCCAGAGTTCTTTAGTTTGAACACCACATCTAACATTTGTGTGTTTTGTTCTGTTTTAAGTGACTAAATTTCTATCCTTTGCTTTTGTTTCAAATAACTGTAACAAAAATTCCAAAAATTAAATAAATTGTATCAAATTTCCTGTTTTTTTTTTTTTTTTTTTTTTTTTTTTTGTTGGACACCCTGTAGTAACTACGGTCTGCAAATTGAAGGAGAGAGTTATCAATGATAATGTTTTAACTTTGAATCTGCAGTTATCTCCCTTTTAACCCTCACTTTTAAAAAAAAAAAATTTTTATAATGGGTTCCCCATGAAAAGACAGGATATTTTTAATTTAGTATATGATGAAAAAAATAACTAACATATAAAAAAAAATAACTATTTTACTGAATGAACTAAAAAAAAAAAAAAAAAATGAACATAAATTTTTTAAGCATTTGTTCCAAAATGCTGTAGTTATCAAATTTTTAACATGAGTTGAATGCTCAATTTAAGAACATTCAACTTAGAGACTGAAAAAATGCCAAGAAATTTTGCCAGCGTTCTTTAGTTTGAACGCCACATCTAACATTTGGTTTTGTTTTGTTTTAAGCTACTTAATTTCTATCCTTTGCTTTTGTTTCAAATAATTGCAACAAACATTCAAACAATTGAATAAACTCTACCAAATTTCCTGATTTTTTTGTGGTGGGTGTCGGGGGCATCCTGTATAATATAATTGGACATAAATTTTCAAAGAATAAAGTTGATAAACAAGTATGGCAGTTATTTATGACTCAACCTAATCATTTAGAAATGAACCTAATATGCATGACTGAAATTAGTTATTTATGACTCAACCTGATTATTTATGACTCAATTTAATATTTATGACTTAGTCTGATTGTTTATGAATGAAATTAATCATTTATGACTAAAACTGATTATTTAAGTCTCAAGCTAATTATTTAGGACTGATCCTAATATTTATGACTGAAATTATGTATAACTCAACCTGATTATTTATGACTCAACCTAATATATTTATTTGGCTTTCATTGATGTATAAATAAGCAAAGTGGTCTACATTCTGTACATTTTTTAAATGATTGCTTCAGATGATATTAAACACGTGCACTTTTAATTATAAAAAATTTCCAGAATTGTTTCTTTGTTATTTCTTTTTTCTGGCATTTAATTAGAGGAATATTTAAAAATGTTGATAATCAGGAATGGAAAAGAACATTTTAATCAAGGATTAATTGCAAAACTGCACATTCACGTGGGAAATCATATTTATGTTGTGGCCACTATTCGACTGACGTTACCGACTAAATGGAATAATTAATTATGGT